TTCGCAGTCGATCTTTCTGACTCCAGAATCATCCTCATCACCTTCGTTTTCCATGTAGAGGCCATCGAGGATGTCTTGGAGACAGATCCTTTCGAGGTCTGTGAGGTCGTCTCCTTCATACTCGGTATTGTCATTGCTTTCTTGGCCCTGGTCCAAAGACCCTCCTTCTTCTCCTCCAATGGGAGGGAGGTCGATGATTCCTGGGGGCGAGACATGGATGTCGCTGAGTATGTTGATGCCTCGTACGTCTGTGATGTCGATGGAGGCTGCTCTGGGGGTTGGGGAAGACCCCCCGGAACTTAAGGATTCTCCTCGGGGTGTGATGGGTCGTCCATCATGCAGCATTGGTTGCACTGGGATGTGCGGGTATGGGACGGTCAGGTACAGGATCGGGAGATGGGGAATGTAGTGGAATGGGAGCCTCGCTCTTCGAGTGTGGGTGCAACACCTGTAAACTGCCTGGATGGTGAGTGCTAGGAGTGCCCCTGCTAGTAATCCAAAAGCTACTGCAACAGTTGGTAACAGTTCAGCAAGTGGCATACGAGCAGGCGGACGACAAGGATGGTAAGTGCGATGAGTATGATGATAACCAGGCTGAGGTCGGTTTCATAATCGGAACTGGTCATCAATGAGGGATCGTTCAAGTCAAGAGTGCCCGTCAGTGTTAGCAGTACGACTGCTAACAGCGAAACAAGCCTGAGGATGGATGTAAAGAGATTCATTGTTTTTAAATCCGAAGATATCCCGTATACGCTACTAGGAGCAGCACTGCTAGTACTGGGGCCACGATATAAACTCGGATGATGAACACGATAAGGATTGTGGTGAGGATCGGAAATGCTGGATTGCGTAGTACAATGGGTAATACCCAGATGACTATCACAGCAAGGAGTAATATGGGATGAATGTTGGGCAACGCTTGTCGACTGATGTGTCATCGGGCAACGGGTAGTCAAGCTTTGGCTAAATGTCAACAACCAACTAAATCGACTTAGATCAACTAAGGATCGCCACTCGCACTTCGGTGAATGACACTCTTAGAGGTCAAAGGAGATTATAGAAGTTGATCGTGGACTTAGATAGTCACGAAACACGGAGCTTTGAGTTGGGTAGATTAAACCTTAGCCGAAGCTGGGGTTTAGGCCAGCTAAGGCTCTACTTAAATACACTTGGGTATGCTAATAATAGTACTGTGAGAGACTATCTGTGATGATCACATGTGAGTAATCCGTCTTAGTAAAACGAAGAAAAAGTAAATAAAATGAATAAACCGTAACATTGGGATGGATAGTTGGCGGTAAAAGTGGGTATTGCTGTGATTGCAATCATTGACTTAGGGAAAGTCCGCTAAGTGGACAAGGCATTTATTATAATACTAAAATCTGCGAATTCTGAGCATACAGAGCCTTGAGGCTCATCAGCAGTACAGTTACCGTTGATATCGGCAAGGGTAGTAAGGGTAAGCTTCGGCTAATTGTTATGCACTAACTCTAATCTGAACCAAGGCTGGTCTCTATCCTGTCACTCACATTTGGTGATTCAGTGTTAGAGAGGCGTTGGTGGATTGCGAGAAGTTAGGTGTCACTTATAGCGAAAGCAGGGAGCTTGTAAGAGTTAGGAGTATATAACCTTAGCCGAAGCTGAGGTCTAAGGCCACAGCATAGGCTAGCTTAAATACATGTTAGACTCGTACTAAGAATAGTGTCTACAAGGGTGCATGCAGTGAGAAGTGCGTCTCTCAACAAATGAGGAGTGAGGACACTAAAAGAAGTGTACTCCCGACGAATGAGAGTAAAGAGCACATATCACCTGCATCTGCATGGGACTCCATCTGAATAGGCTGCATCCCGTAGACCGCCCTCGACTGGCAGTCGACTCTTGTCCAACTACTAAGAAGCATGATGCCATCAAGAGAAGTGTGATGGTGCATGTGGGTCATTGGTCACCTGGGGGCGGCAGTGGTGAACTGGGGTGACAGCAACCGGGTAAAGAGTGTGCCAGCAGAATATCATGGGTCTGGGAGATAAGATAGGCAGGTCCGGGGTTCTGAGAGATAAGGATAAGATAAGATAAGGAAAATAGGGGTAGAGTCATAATACCCCTTCAAAACATTTAAAACTTGACGCCACTTCCCACCATCAGTCAACCAATGAGAAAGATGATAAATGACAGAGCTTTGAGGTGGGAACCTAGTTGACCATCCCTTGAGGGTGCTACTAGAAAGGTCATGAGCATCGCTATGTGGACAGCACTTGAAGAGACGGCATACCAAATGGTGTGGTAGGATGCAAGAATTATGTGCTTGGCAGATTTGAAAGGCATTGTGGAGTAAGCTGCGACTTAGACTAGTTTGGGTTTGAAAAATGTTTGTGTAGAAATAATGAACCCATGAGTCATTTTATATATGACAGCACATAGTGACCTGATGGTCCTGTCAGGGAAATTTATTTCAAGAACAACGCAATACATTGCTGAAACTTCGTGTTGGGAGTAGAAACGCCGGATTCCTTGAAAATCATAATCAGCGCTCCTGAAACATTTGATTTGATGAAAATGAGTCCAAGATCTGTGATATTAATCATACATTCTACGCGTCAATGGGCTAATCTTTCGTAGCAGGTATAGAGATGTGAACAAATCTAACAGATCACCTGTGAGAGAATCGAACAAGATCCTGACAAATAAAATCAGTTGCCAGGAAGCAGGTGGGTATCACAATATTGAGGATACAGCATGCGATTTAAGCTCGACTCTTTAGTGGCCATAGAAGTAATATTTATATTCCAACAACAGCAGCAGAAATTTGAAAAAAAAAAATCTAGAGGCAGAGCTGCAGTTTATCCCAAGATTCAAGTTGCTGTGGTGGAAGAAACCATGGACCGAACACTGACAGTTTCTGTCAAGCTGTTACCGAAAAAGAAAATACAGAACATAAAGGATAGAAAACAAAATGGCAATATGAAGCAGGCTAGAGGAAATGTGACATAGCACAAGGGTGAAACACAGAGTCAGAAAAATGTGGGAATTGCCATCCATGAATAAAAAATTTCCCATGAGAGACCCACAGAGAAAGAAACGGGGTGGGATGGCAAATGCCACCATCACTGATTCCACGAATAGAATTTCCCATGAGGTTTTACGACAGCATAATAACCGAGTATCCTATATTCATAGGACTCGGAATTCCAATCAGATGGCTACATTGATATATAATTTTAGGACCTTACACAGGTATGAAGATTGAGCTGAAGTCAATAAGATGTAAAGGAGATGCAGCCTGCAATATACAATGCATTACAGAAGGGATTCAAATGCAGACAAGTAGTGCAACTGGATAAAAACAACACTGCATAAAAGTATTTGAAGTAGCCTTGCTTTATTCCTTTACTTCAAACTATCCAACATAGAGGTTAGATTTCAAGATCGATGCTAATCTACCTACATGAACATACACTTGTTTAGGCATTAAATCTTCATTACCGAACATTATTAATGATGAGGAAGAGACTGCTGATTTCAAACATAATTTCCAAAGTTTCTGAGTAAATGATATGCCCACCAAGTGTCTCATTATCAAACGGTACAGGAGGTCCAATGCTTCTCGCTCAGTTGAAATGTGTTAGCTTACACGTCTGTGGTTGTTTCAAGGTTCTTGAATCCGCAAGCATCTTGATCCTTTTTTTTAAATGCATAGTGAATGACATCGAGACACAAAAGAAAAATAGCAAAAGATGGAGATGGTGTCATTGGTTTTGCCCCAGCCAGGAAAATGTGTTTGGTGGTGGCGAGTGTCTGTCATGACATCATTTTATCTCACTGTTCTCCTTTTCCAAGTTCAACTCCTTTATGAATTGCCCTTTTTTGCATTGAACAGTCTCACTGAGCATCAATAGAACGTAATAGGGGGCTTAGACCTCATGATGGTACAGATGGTCAATGCTGGACTGATCTAGAAGCTCGTGTGCACTATAAGGTGGAGTCAGGGCACTTGAGAGACAAGGCTTCTGCAAAAGGGACGACTGAGGAGGACAAATCAGAGTCGCTGAGGACACCAGAGGACACCACAGATTTGGCCACTTCACCTTTGATATATCACATTAGCCATGCTGACATCATAATGAAGGATTCCTGCCCAGTCGCACTTGCAACCTATTAATATCTGAAACCAGGATGCGCCAGAGAGTCCATGATGGAAGAGAACTGGTCAGACAGAGTGACTCCATATTCGTTTGAAAGCACTTGTCTTGAAGGATATCATCAGCAGGAGAACTTGTTTGAGTTCTCAGTTGGGGGTGAAAAGTCAGGGGAAGAGGGTTGTGAGCAATCAATGTGTCAAGATTGCCAGCCACTTCGCTATTGGTCAAATTATTCTGATTATTCTGAAACCGTGGGTTTCCAGTTAGTCCCTCAAGCAGGATGCCCATCTGACTCAGATCTGCAGTGATGAAAATGATGCAGATACTTAGTCCACCCAGCAATGAAGTCCAGATGGTGACGAAGAATTTTCTGCAAAGCTAGCTGCTTGAATAATCCATACAGGTATGACAGCATTCTGCAGCTAGAATACTGGGAAAATAATATATAGTGAATGTTGAAAACAGCATGGGAATGGTTGGTGGTGGAGTGACCCGATTTGGCACTGAATGCTCTATTTTGACATGGTGATACTTTTTCACTCTACCACCGTTCTCTATTACCAATTGGGACCCTGCATCGGTGTTGGTGCAAGTGTGCAAGCCCTTGAAATGAGATAACAGGATTTTCCAATCCAGACGAATGAGACACTGAAAAAAACATGATACTTATTCAAGGGAACGTTCACCACTGGCCTGAGCATGTAGTTCATGATTGTGATTGAAAGTACAGCAGTTGTACAGTCAGTTTGCCATTATATTCGGTCAAGTCTTAGCTGGCTATTAGGTTTCAGCATTGGCACCCTGTCATGTCTCACCCTACTCTGTTCTTGCCACAACATCTCTATGCCAATCCAAAGCACTCACAGCATTTACATCCCATTGCTGCTACCAGAGGGTCATGGATATCCACTTTGGCTTTCTGCACCGATATCGAATCTTCCTCTTGATTTTGTTCGCCATGGAACACAAATTGGTGATCTTGGGTATCTTGCTTGTGATGGAGGTTTCATGTACCTCTTCAATGTGTGCAAGGATGCAACAGATCCTGTCAATCTGAATAGGTCCCCTCCCAGCTTCATACCACTGACGAACACCCCAGGCATGTGAGAAGGCTTGGAATTCCACAAAAGTAACTCTGTGATCTCTAATTCTACCACGGAACAAAGGTTAGCTAAAACTGAACCTTTTCTTGCATCTTCAAGCCCTCCTTTCTGACTGATTGAGGGTACATTCCAGTCTCAACTCTACATATACAAGAGTGGGAACCACCGTCCTTGTCCTTCCTGATGGCACTGAACGTTCTGATTCAGAAGAACCTAGCCTATTTGAAGAATATGCAATTGCGAATGTCCATAGCTGGTACAAATACTTCAATGGCCAACAGGGCAGAAAGTTATATAACGGTTCCCTATATCTCATCACCAGCTGCGATAAATGCTGCTGCTGGTCCAACACATGCTGCTCCCAAAACACTCAGTCCAGGAATGTATCACTCAGGTTTTCGTTTACTGTAGGCATGGGACACAACAGAATATTACATCTTGACTGGGAGATACAAACCAATCCCTGTGTTCACCAGCAGAATCACCAATGCGGCGACAATATACCGGGAGCTACTGCAAATCAGACTGTCTTCATGCATGGATACTCGATCTCTGTTTGTGCTCAACCAATGTTATGTGCACTGGGCATCAAACCGGTAGCGGTATACAAGAGTGACTCTAAGCTTCCATGATTCAAGACCAGTGGGACCCAGGCTCCCTATTCCCCTACAAGCCCTTTTGGTTTGATGCCAGCTGTCATGAGGGCATTAGGCTTCTCAGAGACTGTGAGAGTATGCTTATTCTCCTCTTTTTACAAGCTATTCTGCTAAAAAAAAACCTGATCACAGAATGGGAGGAAAAGAGATAGCAGTAAGCTTGGAAGATTTCTCAGCAAGGGACAGGTGCCATTGGAAGATGAAGTTGAAATCAACACATTGAAGATAGACATTCCCTACAACTCTGTGGATGAGCAGGCTGATGCATCAGTTCAGAAGTTCCCTGGGCAGAGCGAGGTGATAATCATGCTTCATGTGGGGGAATTGTAGATTGAAATCCTTACTTTGCAGATCTTCAACCCCTCAGCTTTGATAAATGATTTTATATTGGAGTCTGTAAGTTACAGCCTCCATAAGAGCCATACTCTGGCTCACCTCCCTTGTATTGACTCCCTAGTATCCTGATGCCACTGTTGCACTCACACATGATGATCACCTTTGGACGGGCATCGCAGACAAGGTGTGTTGCAGTATTTTTGACAGATCTTCCAATTTCATTAATGGCCTTGCTAGGTTCATAACTCAGTTGATGCCACAGAGCTTGTGAGATATGCCATCATTAATAATCTAGTCCTTATTAGCAAAGGTAAGATATTCATTGTTTATAGTTGTGTTTGAGTCAATGTACTGGCTTGTTTTAGGTTCAGGACCACATAATGCCTGCATAGCTAAACGAAGGTGGTCTGGCGAATGAAAATTTGCACATGTTCGACAATCATATTCTTGCTACATTAGTAGAACATCCTAGTGGGGATGTCAGGCATCCTGGGAGTTTTTGACAACTGGCCAACATAGAGTAATCTGTAATCTAGAAATCCTGCTGTGATATCCTTTGTGAATTGACACAACATAAGCTGCGAGCATCAACAGAAAGTGGATACAAAATCAAACTTAACACACCGACATGGCACAATGTATCTAATAACAGGATATTTCAGTTTTGCATAGCTTATTGTCATCTCTCTCAGGTACACACTAGGGTATAATCATTTGGAATGATGAGAGACAACATCAGAAAGCGAGATCCACTTCTGAGCCAGCTGACAGCACCAGTAATATGAAACGACATTGGAAGACATGTCCAATTTCTGATTCTGCAGTTGATGTCAAAGAAATTGGACTCTGTATGAGCATGTTTAGGAAGTATTACAGTTGTCTGAAATGGGGCTGTATGGAAGGAAACAAACTTGGACCCGGTCTGGACATATATGTATCTGAGTCCCCTAATAGATATGCATGCTTGGAGTACTCATTGATGCATGATGAATCCATTCTTTACACAGACCATATCCTTCATTACGAGGTATTCCACATTATGTCAAGTACAGCACCTCCAAAATGGCATGTCATTGTGGGCTGCAATGTGAGTTTACCTTTGTCTTGTTCTATACAAAGCTAATCACATGACAGGATGCTGGTGTTCAATACAAAGACATGCTGAAAGCAGACCTGGAAAAGGACCCTTGAGTTTCCGAGATCATCGATGTGGGTGTCATCAATTCGAATGAGAAGACAGCATACTCCCATGTCGCTGTCACAGCTGCAAAGAAGATTGTAGCAGGTGAAGCTGACTGTGGATTGTTGATATGTGGCACTGGCCTTGGTGTGTTTTATCAAGCCCTCCAGCAAGAAGATGGGCTAATGAGGCATGCAGGTGTCACCATTTCCACCAACAAAGTCCCTGGTATTCAGGGCATCTTGAGTAACAATGTTCAGGTTCTTTGCATGGGTCAGCGTGTCATTAGTATTGAGCTCACCCGTCGCCTCACCAAGGAATGGCTGGGCTATGTCTTTGACACCAAGTCTGCTTCGGCCGCAAAAGTCAATGCAATTTCTCAATACGAGACAGTCCCTGGAGCATGTTCATGAACAAGAATGGATAATAGTATGCATGTACTATACAACCAGTCATATTAATCAGAATATCACCTGTACTGATTCCAACACCATGTATGCACAATGAAAGATCCTAATTTGCATGACTTTGTTCCATCGAAAGGAAAGCATCTGTGTTTCCAGAGAGAGGCAAGCTGAACAAAAAGGAACTCTTTGGATGACTGGAAAACTGGATTTATTGGCCACCTCTGCTGATACAGCTCAGGTAAATAAGCGCAAACTAATCTACCTCGGTAGCTCATTGTAAGTAAAGGTACACATATCAAGGGAAACCGGTCAGGATGATAAGATAGGAGATAAAAAGGATGGCAAATCAATGGCTATGGCATTATTATTCTTTTTCGATGGAGCTGGGCATACCCTTCACTTATATTCCACCCAAATCCTGCCAGCCAGACGAATGCATGATGTGTGCCATGTGTGAGCGATGCATACCAACAAACAACTTGTCTTGGCTCCCGTCAAACCAGTAAGCTCGGGCAAGGGTGACATTAGGCCAAGGTAGAAGCGAGATAGAGTTTGGGGCCAAGCGGAGCCATCTTCAAAGAGACATCAGATGACCTGGAGAAAGGACCTGCAAATGAGCAGGGGTACTTCTGCAGAGTCCAAGATATGGGATGTCTTGGTAATCAGTGTTTGTGTGGCATGTTGGCAGAAAGAGCGATACACAGGGCATGAGACAAAGATGTGGTGGACGGTTTCCAGTGCATCACATTCACTGATGCACATGGGGGATACATTTCTGAATTGTTGGAATCACATGTACATTGTGTCCAGCTGACATGGCAGTTGAAGAAAAGAGGTGGGCCGGTCTGCTGGCACAAAGTTCTATGTCAACAGTGTTGCAAATGTGACTGTGTTCCTGCCATGTATGATTTTACCTGTCCACAAAAAATATGGTCTCCTCAAAAGTGAACTTCCAGGAAAAATCCAGGTTTAGGTGGGCTTGTAGTGTGTGCTCGGAAGAACTTTGTATGCTGAAAAATCACTAGATATATAACTGTTAGACCAGATTTTGTTGCGTGTGGCAGAATTTTCCAATAGCATATGGCTAGCAGTTTTTGTACTAGCTATAGCTTTTACAGGCTTGAAGCTTAGTTGGCACGACACCTGTTGCAAACCATGAGGTAAATATTGTGACCATTTCAATAAATTTGATAAAATCCATCTAGGTCTATACAACATCTTCATATGCATCGAATTCATGCCACTGATAAAGTTAGATTCTATGGCATGGGCTGTTGCCACTCTTCATACTGCACCTCCAGTTTCTAGCCATCTATACAGATCATTGACATAACTCTCATGAATTTGAAGTATGTGATGTGCCCGTCAAGCGTCTCGTTATCGAAAGGTTCTGTGGGGATGGGTATGGACGCATGAAGTGTAGACTTGGATGTTACATCAGGGATCAGCTCATCGTCATCAGGCTGTGACTGTATACATGTGCTGATACCCTTCGCAAAGGCACAATGAATGAGTCTAAGGCAGCAAGAAAACGTGGAAAAAGAGGGTGATATAGGAATTGGCTCTGACTCTTCCAAAGCTGTAAGGAAGTCAACTTTCTCCTTGGACAGACTTCGCCACATCTGTGTTCAGTCAAACCATTCAGCGAATGGCATGTCCATGGACTTCAGCTGTAACGGTCTCAGTGTCAGCTGCTCCTTGATTACAACAATCTCATAACAGCAGCAAAACATCAGCAAGACATAGTAAAGCGCCTCAATGTCATGCTGGTACAGATGGCCAATATCAGACTGATTCAAAAGTTCATGAGCCATATAAGGTGGTGTGCCCATGTGGTGGGGAAATGTAGTTCCCATCAGAGGAAAAAAGGAGGAGAGGTCAAAATCATTTAGTATGCTGCAAACTTTGTCATCCTTTGGTCTTTTTCGAAACATGACGTTTGCCATACTAATGTCTCAATGAAGAATCTTCGCATGATCAAATAGTCACCTATAACCTAGACTGTCATATGTTATACTCAGATGCTAGAGATAGAAATGAAAGTGATATACATTGTAGTATATCAAGAAAGGCTTGAGCGATGTCCTTGACATTGGCCAGGTCCATCATGGGAAAGAGACGTTCTGATGCGGTGATGTGAAGAAGGTGCTCCTCATATATAAGTGTCTTTCCATCGACATAGGATCCCATTCTCAAGAGCTCCATCAACTTTCTCCAAGGTAAATCTTTATTGTCGAAGCTGAAGTCTTGGGAATGAAAGATCTCAGGAAGATGATCCAGAACCCAATGCCTCTCGCCTTGACCAGCCATCTCATCAGCCTTGACCTTCACAGCATCTGCCAGCCTCTTCTCTGAGTTGCAATAGATGCTCAGCAAGCTGATCTTGACTACAAGTTACTTACCAGGCCATTCCAGGCACTCAGTGGTAACGACACAGGTGTTCCTCCCAACAAGACCTTGCTGGCAGTCAATGATGTCTCCAAGGGTGAGAACAATGTCAGATTTATCGGCTTTCTTCAAAGTTATCTTCAGATCCTTCAAGAGATTTGCAGGATTCCTGTGGTCAATCTTTTCGAAAGACTTGATGTAACACTCTTCGATAATGCAATCAAGAATACAGCATTGGGGGAAAGCAAAACAATGGCATCCAATAAGCATTGGAGGCTCTTCATCGACAGAAGACAGTTCAGAGGCTCCCAACGTGTCTCTGTCATGAGCATCACGGTGGTATAGTTGAAAAGGATATTGCCTCTTGAGTCCTCATTTAGGTATTGTGAAAGGATCCATGAGTGGATATAGAGAATAAGTGGCACAGATAAGAATGAGTACAGTGACAGAACTGTTCATGCTGTTGCAGGCACTGGAGACAATGCAGTGGAATCTGGATGTTGCATAGACATGAGATTGGTTAATGAGTGGCATCTTGTGTATAGTAAGTGCAAAGCAGTGACAGTCAAAATATTCCCAAGGCTACTAGTCTGAGCTTCACCATGCTCAATGTGACAGGACATTAGAGTTCAGAGCAAAAATTTGACATTTGAATGCAACTTTGTATGCCTATCTATGTGAATATACACTTGTTCAACCTCTGAGACATTAGGCTTCACTACTGATCATTTTTAATAACTAGGGAGTGGCCACCAATATCTGACATGATTGCCAAAAAGTCCGAGTAGACAACATATCCACTGAGCATCTCTTCATCAAAGGGCACAGGGACCTGGATGCTGCTGGGACGATTTGTAAGATCATGCTCACTCGGTGGAATGAAATTTGCAGGAATCTTTCATTTTGGATTGGGTTGAATCTTGGATTTGGTCCGTGCATGGAAACCATCACCAAATGCAACCTGGATGTCTTGAAGCCAAGGAAGAAAGGCAGAAAATGATGTCAAAGTAGGAATGGGCATGTCCTCAGCTAGGAAGCATCTCTTCTGCCTAGATAGGGCTTCCCATGTCATCATTCGGTCAAACCAGTCAGAAAATGGTGGTTTCTTCCCCTTTTCCATTTTCAATTCCTTCATTGTAGACCCCTTGTCAGAGCGCACAATCTCGTAACGATAGCAGAGCATCATCAAGACATAGAACAGGGCTTCGATATCATGACTATACAGATGGCTGATGTCGGTTGCACGTAGAAGGTCACAGGCCATATAAGGTGCAGTACCTGTATGATGGAGAGACAAGGCATCTCAGAGAGGAAGAAAAGAGGAGAGGTCGAAATCATTGAGGACACCGCAGACTTGCCTATGTCTCCTTCAATACATCACATTGGTCATACTGATATCATGGTGGAGAATCATTGGATGATCAAAGAGTCATCGATGACCTA